AGAGAGAGAGAGAGAGAGAGAGAGAGAGAGAGAGAGAGAGAGAGAGATCTGATCCAACCTCTCTCCCTCTCTCACACACACAGGCAGGTGTGGGATTTAGATCCCTGATCTAAAGCTGTCAAAACTCCAAAAACTGGTCAAGTAGCTCTGGGGAGGCCAGTCATAAATTAGAACACTTGCTAAACAACCGGTCATTAAGTGAGGACCACTTGTATTTGGTTTGCCAGTCACCTGGCCACACCCACCCAGCCACATGACCAGCAAGCCACACCCACCCAGTCATGTGACCAGCAAACCACACCCTCAAATTAGGCCACACCCACATAAATTTGAATCCCACCCCTGGATGGGGGGCACCGAGGATGAGTTTGTAGCACCAAGGGGGCAGTGGACCGAAAAAGTTTGGGAACCACTGGTTTATACAATAAAAAGAATGTAAAGGCACACATGAATGAATAAATAAATGCTGTAAATGGAAGGAACATTTTTATTTATTTTTTTATGAGAACACAATAAATTAGGAGACAAGGGCCTCTGTCATATTTAGCATCAACACAATCTTAAACAGATATGCAATGTATTTTTGTAATAACTTACTGTGGATTATGAGTTTGAGTTCCTTAAACTGTTTGCCTGCAGAATTGGTTGCGCTGCATTGGTAGTGTCCTTTGTCCACTCTTCGAGCACTCTTTATTTGAAGAATCTGCCCTTTGTCCAAAACCTCAATATTAGGGTCACCTAAAAAGAGGGGCCTGGGAGGGGGGGAACACCTTAAAATGGCATCAATTTAATAAAAAGTTTGTAAATAAAGCTTTGGAAATATAGTGTACTGACAGGTACACTACAAAGTAAAATAATATCAAATTTTACATTGTGGGAAATCTTGAGGAATACATTTTTTGGAACTATAGAACAGGATATACAAGATTCTTTCAATTTCATTAACATTTCATCTAGAAAATGATAATGTGAGGAAAATACTCTATGCATAGAAGCTAACGGGGTTCCAAGACTTGTGATCTTCATATGAATTTTTCCCTTAAATTAATTCTTAAGACAAGAAAAGGACACTGACTTTACTATATTGAGAGGAAGCAAGCTTCTTATTTTTTTTTTTTTTTTGGTCTATAAGTCATGTTAGAAAAGTTTAAGAATTAGCCCTTACTTGCCATCTTTGAACCACTGCACGGTAGGAAAAGGAGACCCACTGACTTTGCATTCCAAAGTTGCCTGTTGGCTGAGGATAACTGAAAATTCATTGGCTCCAGCATCTCTTATAATAGGTGGGACTAGAGGAAATGGACAACAAGAGACAACAACAAGGGGTGATAATTAAATAGGAAGCCCTATTAAAATACTGCAAAATGCTTTTAGGAAACGAAAAGTAGAAGCTAATCCTGAAAATAAGCTTTCTTTTCACACCCAAAATACATATTAAATACCAGCTTATAGTACCCATATTAGCGTTTCACTGTGAGAAGCTATTTTCATTCTCGGTTGACATTTGAATGATGATAATTTTGGGATTAACTGCAACGCATGATTTGTACTGGTTGTTAAAAGTGAGATATACAGCATCATTAATAAAAGGAATGAATTGGACCAGTGAACCAGGAAAAGTGGTTCATAGAACTGGCTACTTTTAGAGTTTTAGGAATGATTAATAGAGCATTTAAATAATTTAAAAGCCTAAATAATGCTACTTCAAGGTTCATATCATTTCAAATATCCAGGGTTAAAAACTATGCAAAGGAAGTACAATTAATCTGGATTAATTCTCTTAGATTTAAGTGTGCTGTTTTGTTGCTCTCTTGTCCTTTTAACAGGTTTATATCACCTCAAAATAATAATGCAAGATAATAAGATTAGTTGATTATTTATAATATATTTTAAAGACTGTATGAGAGTTAATTTACTACTGAGTACTTCATGCTTGTAAGCATATATTTTTGAACAGCCAAGGACACTTCATATTTAATTTCATATCATAATCATATTCAAGAGTACCAACCTTGCACATCTATAGTGAAAAATTTCTCCGAACTCCCAGCTATAGTGGTGGCTTTACATGAATACTGGCCAGCATCATGAGCTGCAACTTTAAGAAGTTTCAATAACTTTCCATTTTCCAAAACTTGCAAACTGCTGCCCTCTAGAACCTGAAAAGTTTCAGCAATAATTGAGGTGATAGCTGCTAAATATCCCAAGTAATTGTGCTTAATTAGACAAGTTTTATAGCATACCTTGCTACCAGGAGTAATAACAGAAGCTAAATAACTTAATTCCTACTTTGGAAATTACCATAAACTTCTGGCTTTGACAGGATAGATTCTTCCAGGGAAGCAGCAGTGAACAAAGAAGAATGTTGTCTAATTCAGTGCCTCTTGTATTACTCTTTTAATGGGATAAGTATGAAGGCAGCAGTCTTGAAGAGACTATTGCTGTTTGGAGTTACAACAACCCCTCTAACCCCTTCAACCTATTCTTGAGATACCAAAATGAGTTTAGGAAAAAGTCCATTAATACAGGTTAGCAGAAGTTGGAATCAAGATGCACACTTTATGTACTTAAATTTTACCTTGCCTTGATCTATTTTTTTTTTGGGGGGGATCCTTTTTTAGATGGAAAGCCTACAACTCTGACAGGAATGTATTTTTATACTATGTAGAGGTGGTATTCAGCAGGTTCTGACCAGTTCTGGAGAATCGGTAGCAGAAATTTTGAGTAGTTCGGAGAATCGGCAGATACCCCCTCTGACTGGAGATTTTACAGTATCCTTCCCCTGCCACGCCCACCAAGCCACGCCCCAGAACTGGTAGTAATAAAAATTGAATCCCACACTGGGTTGAATATTATTTTCAGTATTATTCCTATATGAGATTGCATCAAAATAATAATCCACTCATGTGAAACTCTGGTTTTGTTCATACATGTTTGAAATGCAGCCAGCCTCATATCATATCAAAGACTAACAAAATGTTTATCATTTTCATTTTGAAAATCAAGCTTTCAGCTTGATTTTATTTTTAATCTAAGAAACAAATGGATAACATCTTAGTGTACCTGCACATCATCTTTATACCAAGTGATGACTGGAAAAGGATCACCAGATACCTCACAGAGCAGACTTATAGGCTTGTTAATGGCCACAGATGTGTTGGTCACTTTGTCCTGATCTTTGATTTCAGGTGGAACTGCAATCAAATAAGTAAATATTTAAACAAAGTCATTGATTTTGTTTCAATATTCTCAGTCCTTGTAGTTATTTGGCTTTTACATGTGCAAGTTCAAATTAGTACATTTCTAACTTTTTATTTTTACACAGCTAATGTCAATATTTTAATTATGCCTCAATTACCCCTTTCTAAAACTTAGAATGAAATAACATTAACTCCTAGCAAAAGGGTTACTTTACCATAAACTTTCAACTTGTAGTTTATTTCTGTGTTTCCAGCTTCATTGATTGCGGTGCAGATATATTCTCCACTGTTGTACGGTGTGGCAGAGGCAATGACCAGCAAAGTTCCATCTTCCAAAATTGAAAGCCCAGGTTCATTGCCTGTAAGCTCCCTATTGTTATGTAGCCATTTTATCACAGGCTTTGGGGTACCTATATATATTATAAAACAAAGGGTTCTAAATATTCCACTTAATTTGAAGTTCAAATAAATAGATTGCATTTCAGAACAAAGTATTTGGTAGCTTTTAACAACATGTGCACCCTATTCAAGAGCTTCTGAACTGGCACAGATCTTCCTCCCACCCAAAAAACTCCTCAAAAAAGTAGCAGATACAACTGTCTGCAAATTGTCTCTCTGCATTCTCCATTATATCTGCTTTTAAACAAGTGGCGCTCAATATTAGCAGATGTCTTTCTTTATCCTGCTATCACCACAAAAGGTCCATAGTATCCTAGTGAATGTTTGAATACTCTGCAATAGGAAGTAAAATCAAGACCAGCAGACCTTATAGGTTCACTTATTACCTACGTACACCTAAACATGAGCATGCATCCAAACAAATTTTCTTCTCTGTGTATACCTTCCCACACTCATATATACAACCTTCCCCTTAGTCACAAAGAAAGCTCCAAGAAGCCATAAACTTACATACTAACACACATGCAGACATACAGATGAGATGTGTTCAAGAGGCTCCAAAGAACTGGCTTTTGACTTTATTTATCCTTATTTAATTGAGACCTGCCATTCTGCTCAGTAAGCAGATTGGCTGGCAAGCCGTAAAACTCCCTATCACCTCCCATGAAATATGTTGTTTTTTTTTAATTCAGAAAATTCTTTTCAGAAAAGGAAACGGTTTAACCCATCTACCTGGAGGCAAAAAGAAAATTCTAAAATGTCATTTTCCCTAAGCAAAGGAAGGCAAAAAATAATAATAATACTTCTTACAGCCTGCTAGCCAAATAAAACAAACAATTCCAACATTATAGGAAGGACTGATATCATTTATACATAAGCTGCTTATTTCAAGTAGCACCATATGGGAAACATTTTCAAGAAGACAATAGCGCAGATGCTACATATACTCAAGGGAACATTTTTCTACTATAGCAAACTGGCTATTAATACAGCAAATCAGCATTAAAATACTGGAAAAATACCAAACGTTGGTGGTGTGATTCAAAGTTTGACTTCTGCCTGCAGGGTAGTATTAATTTTCTATTTAAATAATAATAATACCACCATCACAGCCAAGCCTAATTCTCCCATCCCAGAGACTGAAGAATGCTGGTTATTCAATTCAAAGTGCTGGTTATTACCTATCAAACCCTGTATGGCATAGGACCTGAATATCCAAGAGTCCATTTATCTCCAACTATTTCTGCCTGTTTGGCCACCTAATGAGAAGCAAGGACTCACTGGAGAAGAGCCTAATGCTGGAAAAGATTGAGAGTAATAGAAGAATGGAACAACAGAGAATGAGGTGGCTGCATGGAGTCACTGAAGCAGTAGGCGTGAGCTTAAATGGACTCCAGAAGATGGTAGAGGACAGGAAGGCCTGAAGGAACGTTGTCCATGGGATTACAATGGATCAGACATGACTTCGCAACTAACAACAACAACAACAAAGTATGTTCCAACAGCATGAGTGTACTCCAGGTCCCATTGTCATCTTGTAGGATCTCGGAAGCATGCTTTCTTTATTATGGCCTCACCATCTACAACAGTATGTACCCAGCGATAAGGATGCCCTCTCTGCTGGGGTTCCAGAAAGCTTTGAAAACCTGATTTTAAAGTTTTGAAGTTGACCTGGAGTTGATCTTTATATTTGTTCAATAGCCCCTGTTTATTAGTTGTTGTTTATGCTGTCTATTAGATTACTTTTTTCTGGATGATTTAGTCTGGGCTTCCTGTATGGATCAGTGTTTTCAATTGTTTTTATGTTTCCTTTCTTTGTATGCCATCTATAGTCCATTAAAGTTGGGTAGCTAATAAATTCAATTAAACAAGAAATAATAGAATCATCAGGTTACAAAAGTCAACATCCCCCAAAATGGAAAGCCTCCAGTTCAGCAATTCATGATGCTCTGTACCTTTGATTGGACATGGGAAGGCAATTTGTTCTTTTGCTATTCTTTCTTGAAATGGAGAGTTGTATGGCGGATCAAGTGTTCCAACAGTTGGAGGTTCTAATATAAAATGAACATAATATGACCTTTATTTATACTTATTGGGTAGGTTTCCCAAATTCCTTTGAAATTTTCAAAATCGCATACATTTATACACACACACACACACACACACACACACACATTTAATTTTAACTATTAAAATTTCATTTTATATTATATATAATGTATTACATTTTTGGTTTACTTGGTTCAGAGGCTTCAGGCTTCATGGTATGATAAGGAAACTCTGAGAAAAAAAACTTTTCTATGTACATCAAGAAGAAACAGAAATAACACCAGGTAAGTCATAATTAAATGTTATATTCCTCCATATATTTGGAGATAAATTAAGAATTTCCCGACAAACTGGATTTGTACCTTTCTATTGCAACCTACTGATTAGCAAATCAGAGAAGCAATGATAGCCCTCTGTTATTCTTATCAATACCTGAACTTCCTTTCCTGCTAAAGTGAAAAAAATGTTACACATTTTTAATATCCTTTACACTTACTGACATCAAAAATAAAATATTTTTTTCAATAAAATATATCTAACTTTATATATGATGATGGCCTTCTCTTCTCTCATAACTACCCACACAATTTGCTTCAGGGTGTAATAAAAACTTCCACTGAAACTTGGGAATTTGGAGAAAGGAACTAAGGATAGATAAAGTCAGCAGTAGTCTAACTGTATGAAATTGTCTGTGACAGATATAATTCCTAATATCAACAGTTCATCTTCCAAGAAAGATACCTCTCATTTACTAGTTCAGTTCTGCTTTAACGCAGAACTATTCTTATATTCTACAAACAATTGCACTGAATTCTAGGAAACATGAACTCCTATTAGTTTTAACTTTATGTTGTCAATTTTTTTTTACTTTATTTATGTTTTATGAATGTTTTTTAGAATACAGAATGGAGGAAAAATCAAGATAAAAAATTAAATAAAGTTACTTCACGGGTAGTTGGTGGTTTAAAAATTATAATTCAATTGTCATCACTAAAAATAATCAAAACAGACTTAACATATCTAATTTTGCATTTTTGAACCAATGGAAAAAGTGAATTCCATGTCATTTAAAGTTTCCCATGAGATTCACCATAATAAAAAATATATTGGGAAAATATAGTAAAGAAAAGCATTTTTATACACACATATGTATACAAAGACAGAGACAGAGATAGAGATAGAGAGATATCTCTGCTTTATCTGATTGTATATACATGTGCAATAGGATATTCTCCCTTAAGGTTATATGTATGTGTTTGAATATTCTTAGTGAAAACAAAAAACCCTTATAATCCAATTATTTGCTGTAAACATAACCTCTTTTTAAAAATGATAATTCTACTTATGTACTTTTCACTATAATGTTAACATACCTTGAACTTGGATCATTATCTCAGCTTCATCTTGGCCAGCAATATTACTTGCCACACATTTATAGATTCCAGCATCTGAAAGCACAACTTTGATGATACTCAGTTTTCCATCTAGAGATGAAGCGTATTGTTCGTTGTCTATCAAAAGGGGTTGTTGATCTTTAAGCCAAGTAATTCTTGGAGATGGGATTCCTTGAGCACTACAATATATATCAACTCTATTACCAGCCTTTGCTTTAATCACTCGAGGCCCATGTTGTATCTTTGGAGGAACTAAGATGATAATAATAATAATAATAATAATAATAATAATAATAATAATAATAATAATAATAATAATAATAATAATAATAATAATAATAATAATAATAGCAATAACAACAATAATAAATTACATACAGAAAGATTTTAGAATATCATGCAGTGAAACATGAAGAACACAACATAGCATTTGACCCCTACATATTTTAAACATATTTACATACTCAATGCAATCATTCAGAATAACCTACATAATTCTTTTATCAATACAATACAAGCCACTCAGAGCCATTTGATAGTGAGGTGGGCAGCATATAAATTTAATTAATAAATAATTATCATTTCTAAACACTTCCAGAAATATTTACAAGACATGAACTTATAAGACTTGAGGAATGGTTAAAAATCATTAAAGAAATTACCCATGCATTTGGGCTAAATCATTGAAAAAATTATCTTCTGATGAGTTAATTTATATTAATAAATTATTAAATAACTGACTTTAAATGATTAGGTAAAGTTAATGATTTCCCTCTCCAGTCATGTCTGACTCTAGGGCATAGTGTTCATTTCTGTTTCTTGGCCAAGGGAGCCAGTGTTGACCAAATATATTTTCCATGGTAATGTGGCCAGCATGGCTATATGCTAAAAGATAAATTATGTTACCTTCCCATTAAAGTGATACTTGTTAACCTATTCACATTTGCATGCTTTCAAACTGCTATCTGGGTAGGAACTGGGACAAGGAATGAGACCTCACCCCATTGTGCAGGGCTCAGGTCTCAAGCCCGGGCTATCATCTTTCCAGCATCTTTAACCATTGAGACATGGCACCCCCATTTTAAATGATTGTCTTTTGAAAAATAACATATTATTATAAAGATCCTTTTAATTTAATGAGCATAGATTGTTCTTGTAAATTGTGGCCAAGCAGCAAGTCTTATTTAGGCTGTTGAGATCTATGAGAAGCTATTATGTTACACAAGAAGATGTAGGATGTCAGCAAATAGGAGCAATGGGTAGTTTCTGAAGCCTTGTGGAAGGGGCAAATTAAGAAAGGTAATGGTTCCAGGGAATGGATTGCAGGTGTCAATGGTGCAGGCAGTGGGAGGGTAGTGTATAGCATAGAAAAATGTTAAAAAAATTAACTCTTCACTGCATAATTTTGTGTTGCAATCAGACTCTAAATAGCTTTACTGGGCCAAAAGACAGATTGAAAACATATTTAAAAATAAAGTTCTGATACTATTACTAAACTTCTCCCCCGAGCACATGCATAATATATAAGGTACAGCTTTGGGACTTCCTCATGCCCCAATCCAATTTGAATCTGATGCCAGTAACCTTAGTCATATTTAATTAAGCTAATATTATTTGAGTTACTAATTCACTGAATGCCCATTATTAATTTAATTCAATATTTATTATTGAAAACAGAGGATTCTTACCGTGGACATTTAGTTTTACTTTTTGGGTTGCATTTCCCGCAATATTTGTAGCCACACAGATGTACAAGCCACTGTCTGATACAAATGTCTCAACAATCTTCATTGAGCCTGAAGAGAGTAAGGTATGTCTGGGGGTGGGAGAGGTGGAAAAAAAACCCCACAGGAAATACAGATGACTATAAATATTTATAAGAACACGAAAGTCTCTTACAGGAGCATTAATAATAAACGTTGCACATCAAACAGCATCTGTTCAGTATTACTTTTGTATAGACTGATCTTCCATTTTTTCCCTTAATTGCTCTTGCCCTCTGACTTCTTCATTCTGCATAGCTGAGGAATGAAGTAAAAGTCAACAGTCCACAGACTTCCATTTCAAATCCAGTTAACCAACAAGTTGGAAGCATTTTCCATCCTCTTGTACATTTTTTTTTAAATGCATCCCTCAAAGATATCAAAGCAGTATATCTGCTAGGGATTCAAAAGTTGCTCTGATAGTCTCTATCAAAAACCAGAAATGGTGCCTTTGGGATAGTCTCTGACCTGTAGAATTCATTCCAAAAAATTATTTATTCTATTTTATTTTTATCGTGGTTTTTAATTTTATTTTTGACAATTTTAAAATAGTTTACTGTATCATCTTACTTTTAATCATTGAATGCTGTGGCGATATTCCAAGTGCCCACTCTATTCTGTACATATTTCTGCTAACCAATAATAGCAACCCCCCAAAAAATCTAATGACAAATAAATTTAATGGATCCTCATGTATTCTCAAATCAATGCCTATTTTATTAAATCTAAAGATAATAAAGGGAAGAACTGGGGCAAAACTTGTGTGGACTCACGTAGAGAATAGAATGGAACGGAACGGAACAGAACAGAACAGAACAGAACAGAACAGAACAGAATTATTTATTGGCCAAGTGTGATTGGACACACAAGGAATTTTCTTGGTGCAAATGCTCTCAGTGTACATAAAAGAAAAGATATATTCATCCTGAGTCAAGAATCATAAGGTACAACAGTTAATAGTCATAGGGTACAATAAGCAATCAAATCATACTAGGAAATAATCAATTTAAATCATAAGGATACAAAGTTCAAAGTTACAGTCATACAGTCACAAGTGGGAGGGGAGGGGTGATCAGGAGTGATGAGAAGATTAATAGTAATATTAATGCAGACTTTGTAAATAGCTGGACAGTATTCAGGGAATTATTTGTTTAGCAGAGTGATGGCATTCGGGGAAAAATTGTCCTTGTGTCTAGTTGTCCTGGTGTGCAGTGCTCTATAGCATCATTTTGAGGGTAGGAGTTGAAACACTTTATGTCTGGGATGTGAGGGGTCTGTAAATATTTTCACAGCCCTCTTTTTGACTCATACAGTATACAGGTCCTCGATGGAAGGGAGGTTGGTAGTAATTGTTTTTTCTGCAGTCCTAATTACTCTCTGAAGTCTGTATCTGTCTTGTTGGGTTGCAGAACCAGACAAATGAAGACTATCATTTTTCTGTCAACTGCAATGCTACTTTTATCATGAAGAGCAGTGTATAAAAGTGGTGTATAAGTCAATAAATGCAGATTACACTGTCACTGTGGCGAATTTGAGTTGATGAAGATAGACCCAGAAAGCTTTCTAGTTTTGTCAGAAAAGGAGGATTGGCAGAGTCTGGGGCAGAAGTGAAAAGAGGAATCAGTCTAGATTCTCACAAATGATCTAAATCCAATCTCTCTTGAATTTTGTTAACTCTTATCCAGTGCTAAAAAGGAACAGCATGAGACAAAAACTCCCATCTATCCTGTAAAACAGAATAGATTGTGATCCAATTCTTTAATCCATTAATTCCTTAATCAAAGACCACACCTGGAATACTGCAACCAATTTTGGTTACCATGCTACAACAAAGATTTTGAGACCTTGGGAAAAGTTCACAGAAGAGCAAATAAGATGATCAAAGGCCTGGAGACTAAAACATATGAAGAACAGCTGCAGGATTTGGGTTTGGCTAGTCTAGAGAAAAGAAGGACTAGGGGGAACATGACAGCAGTATTCCAGTATTTGAGAGGCTGCCACAAAGAAGAGGAGATCAAATTATTCTACAAAGCACCGGAGAGAAGGACAAGAAATAATAGTTGGAAACTAACCAAAGATAGAAGCAACCTGGAATTAAGGATACATTTCTAACAGTGAAGACAATTCCAGTGGAATAGCTTGCTTCAAAAATCATGGATGCTCAATCACTGGAGGTTTATAAGAAGAGATTAGACAGCCACTTATCTGAAATAGTATAACTTCTCTTGCTTGAGCAAGGGGTGGACTAGAAGACCTCCAAAGTCCCTTCCAGCTCTATTCTATTCTACATTAATTGCCTATCAGTGACTACCACCATTCAAGCTGCCAAACTCAGTCCTCTCTAATTTCCAGACTGAACTCTTTCTTATAGGATTCAAGATAAGAAAGTGGGGGAAGTATGAAATACCAATGATAGAGGTAACTTCTCATCCCTTCAGTGACCCAGTTCTTACAATGGATGTGTTGTTTAAAGACTCAACAACAAGGCACAATGCCAGCAAGATACATGGCTTCGTTATGGATTTCTGAGATAAGCCAAAGCTCCAGGCCTTTTGATGTTTCCTCACAAAGATATTCTTTACCAGAAAAAAGTATTTTCAAAGGGCAGTGTTTGAGGGAGTCATACAGAGGATTTAGATCTGAAAGCAGCATTCTTGATGAATGTTTCTGGTATCTTTATTTAGTATTCATCTTATAATGTGTTGGACTACAAGGATGATGGAAATTACAGTATAGAATACATGGAAACTACAATCTAGCACACCTGGAGAACATCGTGTTGTGAAAAGACTCCAAATGATTGCATAGGATACTGACAATATACTACACATATTACATTTCCATTATCTTTAAATAGGCAGGGACTGAATCAAAGTATAATATGAATATTCAATTATTGGTGTATATTAATAATCCATACAAATGCCAGAGTTTATCTAGCAGCCTCTGATCACGTCAGTGAGACAACTTGTACCGAAATTCAAACAAAGTAAACTAAGAAATGATATAAAAGTTACCTTGGAGAAAATGGAGAGATAAGTTGCATTTCTTTAGCCCATGTGATTATTGGGGGTGGCAAACTTTTCACTTCACAGGGCAGTGTCACTTCTTCCCCAGCTGTCACTGACATCTCAATTGGGTTATCTGGTGAACTTCCTTGCTGATTTCCAGGTCTGGAAACTCTTGGTTTTACTAAAACAAAACATGCACATTATATTATTATCCCGTTCTTGCAATAATATTCCAGGTTAGTGGATTAACTCCAATTGTTCTGTAAGCAAAACAGCTCACTCTCTCCATTCTTCTGTCCCCTCTTCTACTTACAGGAGATAAACTTCCTAAAGGGCCAAGGCCTCTTTTAACAGAGGAGGATATGTTGTATACTGTTCCAGTACAAGAGGAGAGGGGATATTTGCCTGAAATCACAGTTCCTATGCCAACAGAACATTCCTGACAAATGTGGACACTATTACAGAAAGCAGTTGCAGTCAGACACAACACATGGGAAGATAAGGTTAAATACTATTTATTGTTCCAAAGTCACCTCAATGAATCTAATCCCCAACCTCGACTCCAGTCATAACTTCCTGTTAGTATGGACACTTGCTCTCAAAGAGTAGGAAGGAAGGAGGGTAAACCACACAGTTATCCTACAGAATGGTCTTCTGAAAGGGATCCTGTTTATGCAGGGATAACCTATAAAAGGTTTTTATCATAATAAACATTATAGGGAGAGCTGTAATATTCAACAAAAATTTATAGCAGAATAGTAGGGAAAGAGGCGCATGCCAGTGGTGGGATTCAAAGATTTTTTACCGCCGGTTCAGTGGACATGGCTTGGTGGGTGCACTTTACATGCGTGCACGCGCCAAATGTGCACTTTGTACAGGCACAGAGCTAGTCCAACTCACCTCCTGCAATCCTGTACTCTCCCTGTCGCTTCAGTAGCTGCCGCATGGCACTCTGCTGTGCCGCGCAAAGCAGCTGCGCTTCAAAAGGTGAGTGTAGGAGCCCGGGTGGGCAGGTGGCCCAACAGCAAAGTGGCAGAGAGAACCGGTTTGGTCTCCGCTGCTCATCGCCGTTACCACCACAGGCCCATATCCATTGCAGCTAAATCACATCAACTGGTTGAATGAACAGGAGGCAGAGTTATCATGAAATGGTTCTTGTGACATATTTTACCTCCAAATTAGCAGAATAGGGATGCCCAATCTTTTTAGGCTGAGAGCCATACTTAGCTTTTGCCTGGCATAAATAACAAGTAATGAAGTAACAATTAGAAGGGGCTTAACTTACATTTAAATTTAACAATATAATTTGATTGCAAACTATAATACATTCTGCACTGCCTCATGTTAATTGCAGTTGGTTGACAACTTCTACATGGTTCTGGGCACTTCTCTCCAAGTTTCAGAAGGTACTTGCAGACTTGAAATTTTAGACTGAGCCCCACTACTTCATTTTTAGAGAGGTTTCCACTTTCATTTTTATTTACCATAGACTGTCAGCTGTACTTTCCGTGTGGCATAACCTGCTGCGTTGGTTGCAGTGCAGATGTATTCCCCAGACTCTTCACCTCCCGGAGAAACTACATAAAGACTTCCATCAGATCCAGAAGAAAACATTAAACTACTGGGAGGAATCACTTCTCCTTTCTGTAAAAAGACAGTAAAATAAAGATGAACTTATTCATATGGAACATGAAGTAAAAACTACCAGAGTATGTTTTAATAATGGTCTGTGTAACTCAGCATCTTCACAGCTGGCTTCAAAGTCATAGTGTCATTGCTGTTTTCTTTTAAAATTTACAGAGTTTGCTGTTATTATTGACTCAGTTTACATTAAGTGTTAGTTCCTTTGAGTATTGTCCTTTCCTCTTACATTGTTTTAAATCTATAGATTACAGGAAATACGACTTCAGCAACAGAGTGGTCAATGTCTGGAATACTCTACCTGATTCTGTGGTTTCTTCCCCAAACCCCAAAAACTTTAACCTTAGACTGTCTACTATTGACCTCACCCCTTTCCTAAGAGGTCTGTAGAGGGCGTGCATAAGCGCACCAACATGCCTACCGTCCCTGTCCTATTGTTTCTTTTTATTTTTCTTACATGTATCCATTTCATGTATTCATAACTATGTTTATACTTTTACCTATTATCTTATAATCGCTTGACAAAAATAAATAAAATAAAAAATAAAAATAAATAAAAATACCTGCTAAACTACATTTAACAATTAGATAAGCTTAATCCAAAAGATTTTCTACTGTAACTATAATAACTTAAGCAGTGAGTATTGCCAGATAATGTGTAGGTCTATTTTGCATAGAAAGTACCTTCTTCTTCTCCTTCTCCCTCATGGCCAGTCAAATATAGACATACTATATATCTGAAAGCTACTTTAAATACATGACAGCTTGCACTGTTGTCCTAACTTGCAGCCTAAGTGGAGGCAGAAAACTTAATGAATGCTTACGATAGCATTCTTGAGCATTATGCCTTCTCAATGTGTTGGGACTATTAAATGGTGGCATATGCTATCTAGACAAAGTATAGACTATCAATATTTTAAGTACATAAATATAAATATACCTAACTCATTAAAGTTCCAAATTCAGTTGATCAAAACATTGCAATTACCTTGGACCATACTATGGATGGCCTAGGAGCTCCACTGGCTTTGCAAGGTAACGTAACTGGAACATCTTCTATAGTACTAAAGATTTGTTGTCCGTGCTGAATTATGGGTGGAACTGAAAACACAAATATGCAAGTATTTTACCAATTATTTCTTATTACATGTTATGTGTGATGTTGCTGTTTATTATGAGGCATAACCTATTAACACAGATATTCCATCATAGTTTTTAAGTTTCAGTCTTATTTAGATGTAATGGCAGATATAGGCAATATAGGGTCCACAGTCAACAATGTGATGAAAAATATTCCTTTGGTACCCATCAGATTCTCTGTCCCACTTGACTTTTTAAAAAGATTATTTTAATTAAAAATATTAAATAAGAAGCTGGCATGCTGCTAAGTAGAAACTTCTTGCACCATATTTTTATATCTATGTAAAATTGATTTCCACAGAGACAATGTGAGTAGATCTGATAGTTACCCTTCTGATAAAGGGTTTTTGTGAGTGGCTGTGTCCACTATGGCAATCATTTCACAACCAAACATATCTCCCATGTGGCCACTTCATAAGTGTACTTGTAACACCTTCTCAAATATATCCTCAGGCTCCAAAGATGGCCATTCCTGCATTATGCCTTATATTTAGATTAGATAACAAGGAATGTCATCCTTTGTCTTGCACACAAAACATAACACATTTGTTGGTTTAGGTTTCCTGATTCCCTAAGCCAGGGGTCCCCAATCTGAGGACTGGCATTGGTCTGTGGCATGCAACCAGGCCACACAAATCAGTGAACCCCCATCCATGAGATGCAGGCAGCACACAAAACCACACCCACTCCAGTCTGTGGAAAACCCTCTCTCCTTGGAACTAGTCCCTGGTGCCCAAAAGGTTGGGGCCCATTGCCCTAAGCCGTAACCAATAAAATGAACAAGCAGATGGTATTATGTTACAAAATTGACATTCCTATACAACATCTGCATTCTTTGGACTTAATCCATGACTAGCTTCTCATGGATCTTGCCTATCTCCCACATGATTATTCTCTTTCATCTCTACATCTTGTGAAAACCATCACACTTTCAAAGGAAAGTATCGTGCCCGAAATAGATTTGGAAGATTCTGATGCTGAAAAACCTGCTTTAGGTATGTCAGACAAATGTTACCCCCAGGAATTAGCAAACAATTGAGCACCTGAGAAGGCAACCTGGAATCATTCAGAGTAGCTTGCTGGTGGTGGAACAAGGAGGGTCCAAATACAATCATTCAGTGCCTGCATGTACCACACAGACACAAACCGCAAAACAGAAGTGTTCCACACACCTCCTTATCAGGCAAGAGAGGCACCAATCTTAAGTGAACCCCGTCCCCAGTAGTGGTCTATATCAAGGCTCCTAGTAACCAGTAACTAGACTCTTTGCACTCAAGCTTTGAAATCTAAGTATTCAGAAATTCTATCACTTTGACCTTCATTGACCAACATTCCTGTGAAGACCCTGAGCCTTATTTACTGATCTGGACTTATTGCAAGCAAACTCTTTTCTTGCAAAGTGTGTATACATCTGTGCACATGCTGGTGCTGCTGGTCACTGCTTATAACTCAATGCAATATGCAGTAAACTTCTGAAAGCTCATTCATATCACTCAATCCAGAGGATCATAAAGAACATGAAGGTTGTAGGGAGAACAAAGGACAAATAAAGACTAGACTGGGAATGGGTGTGGGAGCATTGCAACTCTACCATCAATCATCAACAATCATTGTTGATCATCAACCCATCGTCAACAAATCATCAACAATTTGAATTGGGATCTGTAATCTTTAAAGGAGGCTTTAAATTAGAAGCACCAAAATGTGTATGTGTAATAAAATACTAATAAGTATAATAATAAATAAATAAAATAAAATCTTCAATAAGACTTATAGCAAGAATTCTTTATAGATATGATTTCGAATGCTAATAGGGTACAAATGTATTCACAATTGTAAGATTTCTTTGGCAAGTTTTCTCATGAAGAAGCATGACATACATAACTTCCAAAGCATGACAAGTATTTGAGGAAAAATACAAACATCTAGAGTGTTTCCAAATGGCTGTGTTAATCAGTTCACTGTGCTGACACCAAAACCATTTCAGATCAGTCTATCTTGATATGTGCCCAGCCTTCCCTTGTCTGATTCCCTGCTGAATAAAAGTCTGCGTTTCCCTTGAGCACTGTAAGATCACCAACATTGTTCTAACACTGAGAACTTTTCAAAAAATTTATGCAATCCGAGAGGACCATCTGTCTCTCATTGAAAGGTTCTTGTCCTCTCTTCCCAGGGACCTGCATTCAGCTTCAGCCTTACCTTTACATCTGAAACCAAGTGATACAGTATTTGAAACTAATCTTCTCTTCATCTTCCATTAGATGTTTAACATCTTTCTGGTTCATAAAGTTGCCCTAGGCTGGTTTGTACATGTATTATTTCATCCTTGCCACACTATTCAGATGGGTTTTTTTTGTGTGGACACCTTGTGCCATTGACATCATTAAGCTTATAACTACCAGAAATATTTTTCTTTGCATGTTTGCCCCATATGATTTGCATACAAGCATCAAAAAGAATTCTACATGCAGATTTATTTATATACTACCTTAATCATCAGCCTACTGTATGTTTACAGCAATCTTCCTTCACCATTGATCTACATACAAAATATGTATACTAGTTGTTTCTTTAAGCCACACACCCCATTCACTGGCTTCTTTTTAATCCTCTATCAAACCTTTTAAACCGCATTTGGAGAATTCTTTCATCTGCCTCTGTTTTATTTAAAAAGAAATATGTCTGCAGAAACCATTATTATTTCAAAACATTCATACAGAGAGACCTATTTCTGGGTGGGATTTTATTCACATGTTCTGTTTATCCAGATGATCAGAACATAGATGTCTTCTTCCATTTTGAAGCAATTCATGCTTTGAAGCAATTTCAGTGGGAAAAATCAAAATTGGGTTCAGAAGACCTTTTCTGGATACAAAGAACTTTTCTTTTACATAGCTGTTTAGCACATTCTGCATGCATTAGAACACATACACATCTCATCTGCCTTTCATGAGCAGCTGGAACCAATTTATTACCTTCAACATTCCAACAAAACTCCTTAGCTATACTTACCCTATGAAATGAGAAATTTACGTAATATACGTTGTGTTGTACCTATTTGTAATTGAAAACACAAGACGTATTGAAGATTTTATTTCTTTACTTCACAAACTACCCTTTACTGATCAAATCAAATCGTTTTTATAGTCAAAGACCAGCAGAACACTACTTATTATGATGATGAATACGAGAAAAAGACATGACCATAGACTGTAGTTCTCGTGAATGATGTTTAATGTTCAGGGGTGGGCTTCAAACGTTTTAGCAATGGGTTCTCTGCCCAGTTGCTAGGTGGGCGTGGCCATGGTGAGATTGGCCTGGTCAGCCTCCTGCACCATGGGGGGAGGGTATTTTTGTCCTCCCCGGGTTCTGGAGGCTTTCCTTGAGCCTCTGGGAGGGCAAAAAACTGTCTCCCCAGGCTCCAGAGGCTCTCTGGAGTCCAGGAACGGATCCATTTCCAGCCCATTTTTCACCCTCCCTGAGCCTCCATGCGTGCCCTGCACTTACCTGCATACAAACAGGCCACGTGGGGACTCCTGGGAGGGGAGGGGTGGGTGGGGCCAGCCAGGAATGGAATTTGGGGGTTCCCCAAACTGCACAGATTCTGCACAAACTGCACAAACCCCTGGGAACTCCCAGCAGCCTAGCCCTGTTAATGTATTTCTTTTGCTCTTTGAGGGCAAAAGAATAAAGTAGAAAGATAGCAAACAGGGAACCAGCTGAAGGAGACAAACTTGCAGAATGCGGGAGTGGAAATTTTGCTTTCCATTTCAACTTATTGTTTATCTCTTTTATTATCTTATGAACTCTGTAGGAAGCATCAAGAAGAGGATGGTTTGAGTAAAAACACGCACTTCAATGCACTGCATGATGGCAATTCTATTCTTTTCTGTGTTCACTTGAAAGCAATCTCTCAAGAATTAAACTAGCAGGCTACTGGGAACTGGCAGATGATGGGAACAGGCCATTGCTCGGTCATCTGAACTGATCATTTGCAGAATTTTTAAACTTAGTGTGCGATTTCAGTGATAATCTACCAATCATCATGGGATGAATACTGGTGAATTCTTAACACTGAAAAGTAATGAAAACATTAAATGATTCACTCACCAAAAACATTGACAGTGGTTGTTTTGTTGTCTGTCCCAGCAACATTGCTGGCCATGCAAGTGTAGCCTCCAGCATCCTGTAGTCGAACCCTTTCAAGGTGAAGACTTCCATCACTCCGGAGGCTGATATAGGGAGTCTGAACCACCTGGAATTGAAATGGGGAAGGCAGATAAGACCATTCTTCATTTAGTCTGGTCATTTACACCTGGCATATTCTGAGTTTTTAAAAAAATTAACCAATGTTGTCCAGCAAGGCAACTTAAATGGGAGCATTCTTGCAGATTTTGATTTTGCTTGGTTTTTGTTTTGTTTTTTTGCAACTTTTAAAGACAAAGAAGCCCATATGACTACCTCTTTCTTGCATCTAGACCTTTTTTTTTTTTTTTTGAAAACAATTTTATTGATTTTTTAAAAACAAACAAAACAGAACATAAAAACATCAACTCTCTTCCATATATACATACAGTGTGTCGGTTGGTTCGTCAGTTTTGTGCATTCATTTCGTAGTCTCAATTACAGTTATATTACATAATAACTCATATTGTCAATCCAAACTTATATATCCTAATATCGCTATTACAAAAACATTTGACTATAATTTTATTCATTCATACTTTATGAGATAACAATACTTTAAATGGTTTATTCTATAACAAATCATATAATCATACCAGATCTATCCTAAAAACACTTTATAGATATGATGTCAAATAACAAAAAAGAAAGAAAAAACAAAGATATTCCTTGCTATCTAACATTCTAAATATTCTATTATTGTATTTTATCATCCAACCATTGATAGAAAAGATCCCAAATTTCATAAAATTGTTTATCCTCTTGCTCTCTAATTTCAAATGTCAATCTACTCATCTCAGCACATTCCAATATTTTCTTAATAATTTCTTCCTGCGATGGTATTTTCTCATTCTTCCAATTTTTAGCAAATACAATCCTAGCCGTTGTTAATACATTTACAATCAGATATTTCAAGTCTTTACTGTATGTATCTGGTAAGATTCCCAATAAAAAAAACCTATTTTGCATCATTTAGGTACAGGAACATCCATAGTTCAGGAAGTGCTTTTTAGTTCAGTGTTCCTCTTTCTCCTTTAATTTAAAGACATGAGGGCTTGGGAAAGTGAAGGAAGCAATACCTGGCTTCAAATCATATGCAAAGCTTGATTTTTTTCAAAGAGAATATAGCAAAAATTCTACTCTTTTCATGGCTTCCATCATAGAATACAAAAAGACATCAAAACAGTGATTAAATCTAAGGGCTACTTATGGAATTATCTCCCTTTGAAGTCTGTAGACTTTCCTGGAGCATATGGTTCAGATTTTCTTGTTTCTGGTTATAGCAGAGTTTCACTGAATTAATTATCAGTACATATTTAAAATGAGTTTTCCTCTCTTTGTCAGGGCAATTGGAATGTGTAGCTTCTTTTCTCCACAACTTTCCATTCTTTATCCTATAAATTATATACATAACTACACTTTGCAATGTTCATGCATTGTAATAAAACTTCTGGTTATCTGCACAAGCCTATAACAAACCATTCTATGGGAGATAAAATTAAGTTATATTTTGATATATGTACACAAATCTATCTACACAAATGACTCTCCTGAAAGGAAAACATGATTATTGTGTACAGATTAAGTCAAACTATCTCTATATGAAACTTAACATTGATTAGAAATCCCCCATTACAACTGCAGCTGAAAGGAAGCTTAATGAAACAATATATTTCTGTTTATCTTTACCTCCAACTGGTGAAGTTACTCACTTGGAGACAAATTTAAACCAAAGCCCAGTTCAGTTATTTATAATGTCTTCACTGCAGCATTAAAAGACAATGATACAGAGAGAGAGGTATGGTAAAGGTAAACGTTTCCCCTGTTCAGTTGTGTCTGCCTCTAGGGAGCAGTGCTCATTTCTGATACTTAGCCAAGGGAGTCAGTGTTGTCAGAAGATGTTTACGCAGTCATGTGGTTAGCATGGCATCACACTGCAGCACAGAGTGTGCTGTGAAACACAAAATGTTGTTACCTTCCCACTGAAGTGGGACCTATTTATCTACTTGCATTTTCATGCTTTTGAATTGCTAAGTGGGCAGGAGCTGGGAGAAGCATGGGAGGTTGCCCCATCATGCTGTGCTTGGATCTCAAACTGGAGGTGTCAGCTTTCCAGCTGACAAGCTCAACTTCTTAACTGCTGAGTCATCACACCTCCATATATAAATAAGAAATCACAACTCCTTCTCCTGAAACAGAATTTTGCACAATTCAAATGAAATAATTTCCAGATGGAGTTAATTTATGGGTGTCACATAGCAAATTAGCAAACACAAAAATGCAGGTATCACATTACAATTACAGGAAACCAATGGATATCATGATCATTTATTATATAAGATTTTTCCAAATTTGCAAGGACTCTGAGGAGTCCCTTAAGACCTATTACTTTCCTGCTTCCCAAGGCATCTGCCCCTGCCAAATGTACTTGGACAAATATCTAGTGCTTAGCCTAAACTGACTTTCCCAAGTCACCTAGCATAACTTATAGTATTGCACCAAGACTGTTTTCTGACTCAGTGAAGTCACCTAGCAGGTAATTTCACTGAGTCAGAAAACAGTCTTGGTGCAATACTATAAGTTATGCTCCATCTGCATATGAAACAAAATGAAATGAAATGCTGTAAATCATAAGACTTCATGTTTTTGGTACTGTTTCACCATCAAGCAGTGGTGGTATTTAAACTTAAGTAAGTTTAAGTAGAAAACTTTAAAGGATATTCAAAATTATCTTACCACCATGCTACTTTTAATCCATTTTCGCTCTGGGATTGGGTTCCCTGCCAGCAGTACACATGACAGAGTCAGTTGCTGTCCTTCAATGACATTAGCTGTTGCAGGACTCATTGCAATTAGAGGTGCAACTATATCAAAGAGAAACAGGAAAAGAAAAAAAATTATCATAATACAAGGATGGTTTATGTTCCTATAAAACCGCACAAAAAATCCATCTTCTCAAGGAACTTAAGAAAAATCCTAGACTGCAAAACTTTTCTCAAAAGTGGTTTACTTTAACCTTGAATTATAAATAAATCTACTGAACCACTGATTATGTTCATACTGTATGGAGACCATGAATCCCAAAATAATCTGTTATCTATTACAGCGTGCTACTTCCATTTTTAATTTGGGTTGTTTATTATGATTGGTCACACAGTCAGCCAGATGTTTTGATTGGATTTGGCATTTATCCATCTATCAAGTCCTTCCCAAGGACCTGGTTCATTATTATTAAATACACACAACGTGAAATTACAGCTGCCAGTTCTTCAGCTGATGTTGGCCTTCATAGACATTGAATTCTTCCCAAGAACCTAGATATTGTAATGTATTAGCACAGTACATGTGCAGATCCAAACAGAGTAGAAAGATGGAAATGTTGCCAATGTACAGATTTTCTAAGTACAGTCCAAGACTTTTGGTATGGCACCCAGTGTACTGATAAGTGCTGAGACCAAAATGACTGATTTATGCCATAATCTTTCAATTTTGATTTTCATAATTTGATACTTTATCATTTTCTCCAATGCTTTAGTTTTCAATTCTATTATATCTAGGTATTGCCACATCAATTATCCACACTTCCTTCTTTTCAACTACACACTTTATTATTCTTGATAAAATTATTAACCAACTTTTCATACAGGAAGGAAGGGAGGGAGGGAGGGAGGAAGGAAGGAAGGAAGGACAATTGCTTTGTATTCATGAAAAGGTTACAAGTTCATATACATATTTAAAATTAAATATATAAGTATTCCAATGCTCCGCAAAAAGAAATCTAATGTGGATTTATTTATTATTTATTTGTTCAAGTTATTGCTCTGATTTGTCAAAGAAATAAAATTCTGTTTGTATTTAACATAAATGTGATTTTAAACATAATATCACAGCGTGCTGTTGTTTCACACACTATAAGCGCTATAGCCAGTGGAGAACACTTTATTTCTATGCTAAATATTGTCAAAAATCTCATATTATCAATTCATTACCAAGTCCCGTCACAGTAACTGTAGCTGGGCTTGAGATAATCTTTCCAAACTGGTTTTCAGCTTCACAGACATATGTTCCTTCATCATTAACCCATAAATCTAAAATTGTATCGAAATTTTAAAAGGAAAAAAAAACAAGCAATAAGAATTTTGTATTAAAACATTATCCTTAAAAAAATAGATCTGCAAATATACATTCCCTTTGAATATTATTTTTCCAGCTATGTTAAGCTAAACCTAAACATAGGTCACATCATTTTTAACAGCCTGAAAGCAATTACAAAGTTGTTCCAGAGTTGTGTCCTAGTTGCTGGGCTATGAAGATGTGCCTCTAACCATCTACTAAGGACAAGCCCTTGCATTATTAGTTGATTGTCAGGCAGATGCTAAGTCAGGCTGTGGCTGATTTAATGTGTTCCATTCTGAAAGTAGCTTTTTTCCTGCTAATTCAGCAGGTGACTTCCAGTGGAGAATTCTGAGGAGAAGTCTTTGGAGATTAGCAATTTGCTAAGTTCCAATTGTTTAGTGCAAATCTATTTCTAGCTGGAAGATTTTGCATCTCCATGGCCATTTTTGCTGTGGCTGCTACAATTGGAACAACAGTCTGTTGTTGTTTTTCATGTATTGGAAGGATTTCAACATAAGAATATCTGTCTTATGAACATCAATCACAGGAGATCAACTTGCCTATTAATAAGCAAAACTAAAAAGGCAGATTTTAATAGCAATAGCACTTAGACTGATATACCGCTTCATAGTCCTTTACAGCACTCTCTAAATGGTTTACAAAGTCAGCATATTGCCCCTAACAATCTGGGTGCCTCATTTTACCGACCATAGAAGGATGGAAGGCTGAGTCAACCTTGAACTGGGCAGAATTGAACTCCTGGCTATGGGCAGAGTTAACCCTCAATACTACCTTTTAACCACTGTGCGGTGCCACCACAGCTTCTTAATCTTTTCCCCCTTTTTGAATAAAAAGAGAACATAGACAGATGTAGACAAACTATCTTTATCATTTTTGGCCCAGATTTCAGAGTAAGTCAAGGTGAATTCAAGGAAGTTTAGTTTGGGAATATATGCATATTGAAATGAGGCTTGTGCAATTTCCTGACCTCAGGGATTTAGCAGGCAATTCTATGTGGAAGTATAAAATATTCTTCCTCTCTCCACCTGATTAACACAAACTGAATCGTTCTATTATTCCACCAGTTGTATTTCTTGAGATTTAAATGCCCCCTCAATAGAGAAGCAGCACAGACATGGACATATCTAGTCTAAAGTAAATGCTATATATTTAGTAGCACCATAGGATAAACAGCAAGAATAAGAAGGAACAGGCTCAAGCAGTATTCACAAGAAGACTAATTTCAATTGGAGGGAGAGGAATCATGGGACTCCACCCTATCCCAGGGGAGCCATTGATGATTTAGTTTTTCCTCAGTAATTAGTACTTGATTGAAGGGAAAAGGCTAGGTATAGATTCGACCAATTACTGCCCTGCATCTGCACCATATTGTAGGCAGCAACAGTAACTAGCAGAGGTAGGCTTTGGAGGGAGTGCTTTCCACACCAATAAGCTTTCCTCTACACTCAGGGATGGGAGGAAAGTACACTGTCACAGATGTCTGAATGAGCCCACAAATAGTCTTATGCATTTCTTAATACCTAAGATGGTGTCTACATACTGTGAATGGAAAGAGCTCCTGTTCTGAGTTGACTGACAGAGCTAACTGCAAAATGTCTTGAGAAAAGTGGGGTGCCGTCCAACCGCTGCCACTTCATCTTCGGTTCTGGATAACCCTGAACATAGCAAGCCAATGTTATGTTTGAACCAATATCCATAGATACATCACTAGGTTCTTGTGTGAAAACTGGAGGAGCTATAAAAGGAATACAGAGGAAGACAAAAATCGTAGAATTGTCAATACAATTTTAATGTATTTTTAATTAAAATCAGATAACGGAACCAAATATTTTTAATTAAAATCAGATAACGGAACCAAATCTTCAAGACTGACTCAGAGCCCATTCATATAAATTATTTGCCTTTGTCTAGATTTATTGGCACAATATTACCATGTTCTCATGATATGATTGATTGTTTGTCTGTAGCTGATTACTTCTAACTTAATTCGAGGGCTGGCTAAAATGCCTTGAGAATAGATCTGCAGCATTCCTGCTAGAGTTGTGAGATGGGTAGTTTCCCATTGGCATGAACTCTGGCCTCATCCTATCTCTCCACCATTACCCCTGACCCTGTTGAAGATACTATTGGTTCCAGAATTATTCTGAAGGAACATTTCAGAATTCATTGCACTTTCAAACATGCTGATAAACATTGTGTACTCCTCCAATATACACTGCATTTGGAGAAAGTGGTGTATCATACAGACATACATGCTGTATGGTCATACACATTGTTTCTGAACATTATGTGCTTTACTTTGTAGAATGCACTTCCTTTCTCAAAGATGACCATGTAAGTTAGCAAATCCTCTGAAGCAGCACAGAAGGATGCAAGAAAAACAGAAATCATTCCCTCCCAGCAGTGGGGAATCACTTTCCATCTACACAAAGTAAATTAATATAATATCAAATAATATTAATACAATAATTAGTAATATCTAATAATATAAAATTGATACCAAAGACTATCAATTAATATAATAATAATAGCAAATAATATTCACGTAACATTATCCTTCATTGAATAAGTTACACTAATAGAATGGGTGGATCACATCTGTACAAAATATCTAATCTGCATGCTTTGTTCTAGTATCATACTTACAACCAACATCCAGTGTTATTTTACCAGATGCAGATCCTGCAACATTTGTGGCAACACACATATAATCACCAGCATCCAGATCTTGTGTTTCCTGAATTCTCAGGATGCCCCGAGAGAAGTCAATAATAAGAAATTCTGTTGCCCTCAGCTCTAAATCCCCTAGACCCAGGGAAAGAATAATGAAATTTTTAAATCATAATAATAAACACCTACTCAGGAAATTAAACAGCTTCCTTAGAGGCAGCATAATGGTTCTATTGTTTTATAAATGTTCAGGAGACTTTACTATCTGCCAATCTGTTGAAAACAAGCACTCATAAAATACAGTGATATTATCTCTGTAAAGTTTACAGTGGAGTTTATATCAAACTTTGCCTGAGAAAAAAAATTGAACATTAGCCAATGCATAGTCTGTAGAAGTGGTAGCTTATAAAGCTTTTCTTCCCATCATATATGCTCATTTCCTCTTCCCTAGATATTTAAGAAGGCCTCTCCCGTGTTAGCTAATTTATGATGTCCATTTCAAGCTGTCCATGGGTATTGTAATTTTAATTTATGGGAAATAGGTAAATGCATTTAAACAACAAAACAAGATATGGAGTCATCACATTGACGATAGATACATTTTAAAATTAGTTCAGTTTCATTTAGGTACCTTTAAACCATCTAATCAATGGAGGTGGGACTCCAGTGCTTTTGCATTCCATTATAGAGGTGTCTCCAAGGGCAATCAAAAGTTCATTTTGTACTACAATCACCCTAGGGACTTCTGCAAGGAGCAAGAAAAGAAGCATTAGAGATATGGATGCCCGACTCATTTTTTTTTCCAATTTTTTTAAATTGTACAATCTATATTCTAATTTGAGGGGTCTTTGGTGTTCTTTGAGCTTGTTTGTGACCCTGATGATGTTACCTAGTTAGGGTGATGAAAAATCTGCAAGAAAACAAGCAAGCTCAGGAAGCACCAAGGACCCTTCATTTAAACCCCAAAACTGCAAATATTCTCCTTTATTGATATTCTAATTTAGCTTTGCTGGTTCAGGGTATAATAATTAAAATCTACCTATGTACTGGGATAGCTAAATTAATGGAGATCCACTCTTTTTTATGAACAGTTTGAAGCTATCATATGTACAGTATATTCTACTTTACTTCCAGGAAGCTGGAAGCAAGATATAAATAAATTGATATTTTATAATACTCCTAAGAAGCAGGTTTGGCTGACAGTGGCTGACCGAAGGTTAACTAATGGAGGATGAAACCAACTCTCTTGAGTCAAAACTTTTTTCATCTAAACTTTCCAATTCATACATTGTATGTATGAATTGCCATCACCTGGCAACGGTGATTCCAGATCAGATTCCCAGTTTTCTTAGAATTAAAAAAGTTTAACCAGGAAGTAAAGTAACGCAACACATTTTTAAAATATCCCATGGCCTATTCTTACACTTAGTCCCTTGTGGAATAATTTCAGAATACCTAAGTAGATAGTTGCCAGTGCTCCCTTGAAAATAAACAAATCTTGAATCCCATTTTTTCATGCAATATTTTCATCTTTTAGTCTTTCAGGCTGATAAAAAAAAACCATTCAATAACCGAGCTGCTGTTTTGTGGGTCTTCGTGAATATTCCTGCCTTAGTGTTCAAATAATCATACATTGATCACCAGCATCCACAAACATTCTGATCCGTTGAAATTTGCAACAAATAAAGGAAGTAATCAACTACACTCTGTGATTTATTTATTTATTTTGTTCCTTATACTTGCCAATGTATGTGAGGCCAGCTGTTCCTTTGACTGTTCCAGCTGCATTGCTAGCCAAACAACCATAGACCCCTTCATCCTTGTGTACTGTGTTTTTTATAATTAAAGTACCTCCAGGAGTTAATCTGTACCTGTTAATAAGAAATCAGTAGGTCAGTCTGATACTCTTATTATTATTTTTAAAAAAGAAAGAATAATACTACCATAACAGTTTGAAACCGTGCAATTTTCATTGCTGCAAACCCCATTCTGAGTGTGCCTATTTCATATTATATGAAATAATTTACAGAGCAATTTTTAGAAAATGACTATTGCTTATGTTTGAAAAAGTCTCAAGACTTCTTACTGTTTAGATTGCCAATCATCACAGCAAAAGAAAAAGGTAAATGTGTAACTCCAATTACATAGCCTAGACTAGGGGTGTCAAACTGGATCTCTTTGAGGGCTGGAGCATTGTACTTGTCCTCTGCAGGCCAGCCAGGGGGACAGATAGGATGGATGGCCTCTTGCAGCACTTTGCTGTCTAGGCCAAAACTGGAGAGTGTGTCCCCCTACCCCACCCCCTTTTTTGGCTACCAGGCTGGCCCCATGGGCCAGATTTAAGCACCCCACAGGCCGGATCTGGCCTGCAGGCCTTGAGTTTGACACCCCTGGCCTAGACCTTTGAAAATTTCAGACATAATTCCCTATGGCCTTATCAGAGGTGGTATTCAGCAGGTTCTGACCAGTTCTGGAGAATGGGTAGCAGAAATGTTGAGTAGTTCAGAGAACTGGCAAATACCACCTCTGACCAGAGATTTTACAGTATCCTTCCTCTGCCACGCCCACCAAGCCACACCCACAGAACCAGTAGTAAAAAAAAATTGAATCCCACCACTGGCCCTTATCACTGGCTATGCTGATTAAGGCTGAAGAGAGAAAAGATAAAAGAATACTTAGGACATCAGACTGTCTATTCTGCTCTCATGCTTTGCCCCTGTTTTAACGTTGCCACTTGGTAGTGTTCATTCTGGTTCATTTCACTCCTGACCAGAACTGTTGTAATACCATCCTATTCCCTTATTGTCTACTGTTTTAGCCATACAACTTGAGAGCCATTTACATGACATCCCTGCTTAGGGGTCCTTCCCATGTTTGCTTAGATAGGCTTTGCAGGTGTGAAAGACATATGAATTCGGACAATGCAAATTATCAGGTAGCACCTTCCACGATCTTAAAAAAAAAATCACATACTTAGAAGTGTCTATGTATTTTCTGGCAGGCCAGCAAAGTTTTGAAATTGTGCAATAAGGACCTCTCCTTATTAAATTTCATAATAGACATAAATTGTTGATAAAACAGAGGAAAATAATTCATTTTTTTCTCTCAGTGAAGGCAACATTTTTGGTGGGTAGGGGGAGAAAGCCCCTGAACATACCTGTTGGATACCATAAGGAACATATCATTATGTGTCCACACCACAGTTGGCTTTGGGTAACCTGTTGCAGAGCAACTGATAGATACTTCAGACCCTTCAGTAAATGACTGGTTCTTGGGTGACACAATAACTTTGGGGGGTTCTGTTAAATAAAATAGAACAAAGACTGATGATTGATTATTTTTAAGCCATTCTGCCTTGCATCCATTGTTCTGCATACATGAACATTTTATTTAATTCTCATAATACACCTGAAATCCAGAAACAATTTTATCACATTAATGCATTTGTATAAGACCAGTAATCCCTACTGCCTACTCTTTTTTTTAAGACTCACCTGTGCCATCAGAAGGAATTGAACCCTATATCTTAAACAGTCTAAAAGGAACCTATAGCTCTTTTGGAAGGCACCAAGACAACTGTTTTAAATTCATCCTATATTAATCTAACACAGTAAGAATATTCTATTTCATATCTCAAAGCATTTTTTTCATCTTGAGATTCACTTAAGAGTTCCATCTGCATTCATTTGTGCCAGTGCCAAAAGAAAATAAGTTATGGGAAGAATTTTTTTCACTAAGTTCCTAACGGCTTTTCTTTAAGGACTTTCACTAAAGTTCTGGGAGTATTAATTTCCTACCGTTCATCTTCACATTTCCAGAAATGTGTTTTTTGTTTTTTTTTTGCTAACAGGGCCATTGGAATCATGAACAATGGTAAAAAGTTTGATTCTAGTATATTTTATGTAATAGTAGATTCAATTCATTGTTCAGCACATCTTAATCCATGAACTAACTTGGAAATAATAATGATTTCCTGAGAAGACATCACTAATCTCCCCATTTCACAGATAGAGAATGAGTAAATAAATCTATAAGTTGATAGTTTATATTAAAAATTAGCAGTCAATCTGTGTTGTTCCATTGTTAACATATGGTACACAAATGAGTTATTAATCTAGAATACTTCAGTGTCCAGAGACCCAACTCTTTGGTTTACATTTTGTTTAAAAAGGATTAAAAAACAATGAAGTTTCATAGGGACTGAATTTATTTATCATAAGCCATAACATGATTTGTTCAATTTTGGCATAGCTGCTGTGGTATATTCACCATGCTTTATGAATTAGGACTGTTCCCTAAGCCCACTACACCAGCATTGTTTGTTCCGCAAAGCATGCTTAAAGCAAACAATGGCTTAGTATGACGTGTGATTTCATGTGGCAATTGTATTTGCAATGGATTAATAGGGCGTTTTTATGTGACAAAACGAAGGAAAAGCAAGCATATGAGCATAATAAGCCCAGAATTCTGCTATCAGTTTACATATATCCAGTGTTCTCCATACTTTACTATTTTACTTCAGGAAATATTAATGAAACCTAAAGGTGACTTGCACTGCTTTAAAAGCATGGGCAGACAGATATATCTGATAGGCTAAGCAGTTCTAGAATGAAAGACTGGGACCAAATCCAAATAGATCTATATATTTTTTCATTGTATCTGACAGAATTGTTCCGAAGTGATCTGCCATGTGGAATGTTGCCTGAGCTATTTTAATTCCTTTTTAAACATTGCCAGAAACAGACTACGAGATGCTTTAAATGCTTTGTGGGTTGAAGGAAGATCAACTCTTTTACTGACATTTGGAAACTTAAATTAGTTCATGTGAAAGTACACACTGTGCTTTAACATCACCTCTTCCGACAATATAGTGTTATTTTATTACACAATACATGAAATATTCAGAAATAGGGTTCTTTGATTAAGAAATAGGTTTTGTATATTATTTTGGTTTGGCTCGCAAAAAGTCGACAAAATATACTGCAACTCCAGCACATCAACATCTGGACAATTCCTGGCTTTGTTTTTTTATCCCAGCAGTAGCCAAATGACAAGGATAGGGAAAAAACACAAATATACCAATATTCTCCCATGTGGCTTGTTTCCTTTATAATGGTGAAAGAGAAAAAAAATTATGTACAATGTCACAACACTGTGATCTTTCCCAGATCATTCTTTTGTCTCCTTCTTTGATTTAAGACATTTTCTCAAGCATTTTCTCTTCCTTGGATTGGAATTTCCTGCTCAGAGTCACTCACACCTTGATCACTGCTGGTCTGGATGATTGTAATGCATTCTATATAGGGCTGTCTTCGAAAACTATTCAGAATTTGCAATTGGTCCAGAGTGCAGAGGTGCAAATATGCCTGTATTTCAATATGGACGTGTAACACCAGTGACACAACATGAGGTACACAGGCTCCCTATAAGCTTCTGGGTACAATCCAATGTGATTATAATCTATAACACCATTCAAGGAACAAGGCTGAGTTATTGAATGCAGCTCAGTTCATATCTTGTTCTCTACTTTTCTTAGGAGTGTGTGTGTGTGTGTGTGTGTGTGTGTGTGTGTTTAAAAATAATTTTTCAAGAATAAATTCACAAGTTGAACTGCAGTAAATTCCAGATCTTGATTTTGCTGATTGAAAAGAACTTTTATTTCTTTGCCTGATGAATATATTTTCAGCTTGATTTTGATGCTGTCCATATGGTTTTATTCAAGTATTCAAATAAGGGATTTGCAATATATACTGTATTTAAATTTTATTGGCAAAATTCTATTGCTCTTTCTCCTGATTTGTTTTGTACACTGATTTTCCCATTATTCTAGTTTTGTACACCAATTTTCTCATTTTTCCAGGTGCTATTATAATTTTACTACACAAACACACATACACTGTAGTCACAAGTTGAGGACTACCTGTATCAAGTTAATATGGTCCTGGTGATCCATATGGGATCTAAGTTATATTTGTAGCTTGATGTTTTTTTAATATATTCAAGTTTAAATTGTAGCAAGGAACTACATTTACCATCAATGTTAATGCTAATGTTATTCTTTCACAGTTCCAAACAAAAATAATGTTCTGTTCTGAATTTTTTTTATTTATTCTTATTATTAAACTTAAAATATATTTGTTATAAAAACAGAATTGATAAAGATTAAAGTGGCATTAACAGAAAAAGAACAATGTTGCATTATTTTTTTTAAAAAAAACCTATCCTTTTTTATATTACCTTGCACTGTAAGGAATACAGAAGCCCTGGTGAAACCACCTTCATTAGAAGCCACACAGTTGTACTCTCCGGCATCTGAGGTTTTGACTGTTTTGATTTCAAGAGAGAGGTTACTCATCATTCGCATCCTCAAGGGTTCCAGGAGTTTCACATTCTTGTTATCTCTGTGCCAGGTGAGATTGTAACGCACTGTACTCATAGTTAAGCATGTAAGAATGGCTCTGTCACCAGGAGGGACAGTAACATTGTTAGGAACCTGTATGACTGGTGGGGGTTCTGTGCAGAAAAACAAGAAAAACAATATTCGTTTGATCAAAAAATCAACGAAAGAGAAGATGTAGTCTCAATTAATCAAGCAAGAGTTCCTTCTTGTTTGAGTCCCAAAGGTGCTTTTTTCAAGAGGCAACTGGACTTTCTGGTTTTTCTCTGAAGACGTTTCTCTTCTCTTCCAAGAAGCTTCTTCAGCTCTGACTCCAGTTGCCTCTTGAAAAAAAAAGCACCTTTGGGACAACCATGACCTGGATGACTGATAACAGATAACAGATAATCAGAGTTGGAAGGGACCTTGTAGGTCATCTAGTCCAACCCCCCCCCCCCACCCAAGCGGGAGACCCTACACCATTTCTGACAAATGGCAGCCCAATTTCTTCTTGAACTGAGACTCTCCATAGACATTCTTGTTTGAATGTCTCACCACTTGTTTACTCATTGCTACTTCTTCTTCTCACTTACTTCCTTGCTATGAGTCTAATGTCATCTCATCTGCTGTTACCTAGCTACAGAAGCATGTCTACCTCTTCCGCTGCTGGATCCTCTTTCTTGCTTCAAAGCTCTTCTCATCCAGTCACCTGATAGCCTACCAGTAATTATATCTTTTCTAACATGGAAGAATGCATCCTCTTTCACATTAGGTGTTTTATTAAAGGAACTCTTTCCTTTTAAAAAAACACCTAATGTGAAACTTTAATGGCGGAAGAAGAGGAAGAGGAAATGGCTTCTTCCATGCAGCTGAACCAATCAAATGATGCCTTGGGAAACATATCACTATTGAGAGCACCAGAGAAGCAAGAATATGTTCTAGTGGCCACAAGAATGCACAAAAGCAGTTTCTGATGGGTTAAGCTCCTACAATTTATATTCCTAGAAGGCTTTTTTTCTCTTTTAAAAATAACATTAAAAATACCTTCTCTTGAGCAATAAAATCTATTACTAGTCTTTCAATATCAAAGTTTTTATAGTCTCCCCAACCTATGGAGACTGTCGGAAAATATGCTCTGTTAACAAAATAGCACCATAAAATATTCAGTTCAATCATTTGTCTGAATTATTATAAACACTCTGTTATTGGCATTCATTCATTCTTCCTTACTAATTGTTTTTAGGAAGATTTACAGTTCAAAACTAAACAAACTCTATACTTTGCCTACTTTTATTTAAAAGTTTCCATTTATCTTCCTTAATAGATGTCTATGGAGATTCTCAATCATCCAGCTCATGATTGTCCTAAAGGTGGTTTTTCCAAAAGGCAGCTGGACTTTCTTGGGAACTGAAGAAACTTCTTGGATACGAAGCAAAATATTTTCAAAGCAAAAACCAGGAAATTCTAGTTGCTTTTGCAAAAAAGAACCTTTGGGACTACCTTAATAGGATTTATTTTATTTTTGAAGGCATGTTAATATAATGTGTGTGTATTTTAAACTCTTGCTGTTGTGATGACTGTCTCTTTCTTAAACTGTGTAATTTTTAAATATTTAGAGATTAATTTTTGTTAGCTGAGTTACTATATTTGTCATATTTTATAATCTGTATCATATGATATGAAATTTTCAGTTCTACAGCTATTTACTTGTGTTTTTTTTTCATTAGGGAAAATAGGTGGGTAATCTTTCCTGCATTCCCCTGAAGGAAATTTATTGGTTACTATACATTAATGATGCCTATAGTGTAAGTAAACATATATGAAATATATGAAATAGATTGAACATGCTAAACATAGGAACTAATTGATTGCAGGCTATTTCTGAAATTTGTTGAATTTTTACGGAAGAGTAATCTAAGAGCTATGTATAGCTTTAGGATTATAGATTACTCACCTCTGAGGAGAATTTATTTATGGTTATATTATGAGAAATGATCACTCCAAATGAGACAAAGAAAAATTATAGAAACCCCAGATACTTTAAAAATTTGTTCTTTGAAAATGTCAAAATAAACTAATTTGATCCATACCTATCCTCCCTACACTGAACTAAGAAATGGTTTCTTAATCTGTCATCACATTATAAATAGTAGTAGTAGTACTGTTATTATTACCATTAAATTTATTACAACTACCCACTCAGGTGGACTCTAGATGCTTACAAAATATAGTTTAATTAAACCACTTAAAAATATAGAATAGTCACTGATTAAGCCACTTTCCTGTATAAATATCTTAATTTACATGGAAAACATCGAAGACATATTTATAGTAGGCCTCAGAAATTCAAGTAAAAAACGCATTATAATCTGACTTGTTTTATAACATTGCACCACAATAAATATGTGTGAGAAGCAATAGTAAATGGCGCTAACCTGATACATCCAAAAATGTCTCTGCTTGTCCTGTACCCGCAGTACTGCTAGCAATACATTCATAATAGCCCTCATCCAAAAGAGATACTTTGGCAATCTCCCAATTTACAATAGCAGATTCTCTGCAACACAATAACAGCAAGAAAATATTCAGAAATACAGAAAATTTCTATAACCTTGGCTATAGAATCCCATGTGCAAAATCTGCATTGCTTCCCTGCATTGCATCTCCATAATTCATACCAAAAACAAGAAAATGGAACTGGAACAGAAGATCGAGTGAAGGATACTTGTTGAACCAAATTTAAGCAAAAGGAGTTTCTACTATTTCTATGTAGCTTGGACTACTCAGCAATTTCATGTATTACTTAGCCCTATCTTCTTTCACACTTAAACTAGCTCTAGTGGACTGACCATCCACAGACCTATTCTAATTAAAGATTAAAAACAAATTCCAACACAGCCGAGTTATGTCACTGAAAATACAGAACATTATGAATACAACATAGCTTCGTGTTTTTAAAAGCATACAATACATGCTCTAATTATTGTTTTAATGAATTGTACTATCTTTCCCATATGAAAATGTTTCCCCAAAATTTAGTTTGATGGGTGCTAAAAAAAAAAAAAACTGCTTCAAAATGCATTCCTCATAAATGTTGAATGAGTCACTATATCAGATTTGTAGACTGAAGAAATAAATCTGATGAAGTGTTTTCCAGGTCTCACACCACCTTTTTCTCCAATTTGATATTTGCCAGATATGTTTAACTTCAATTCCCATAATCCAAAATGTCATGGTATATCTGGAAACTACCAGATTGGAAGTCCAGTATATCTGGAAACTACCAGATTGGAAAAGACTGTCCTATATAACACTGGTGTCAAACTTGCTGCATCACATTGCCACATTGTAATGTTTCATGATGTTTTTCCCATTTGTGGAGCTGGGGTGGGCGTGGCCTGTGCATGATGCATCCAGCCCATGGGCTGTCAGTTTGACACCTCTGCTATATAATGTTCTATGATTGGGCCTGAATCACTGAAAATAATAATTTTTGTGAAGGAACTATTATGATCAGACTATTAAAATATTATCTCTGCTTTCATTTGATCAGGAAAAACTGGCATAATATAGAACTTGAACTGTTTTTAAAATTATTTATTGATTGATTTATTAAGAAATTTTAAATACTTTTTTTAATTTAACATGTATTCAATTAAGTAAATATTTTTAATTCATACAAAGTACAGGCTTTTGAGACAACAACTTTTGGAACAACCATGTAAATCTCATTACTTCAGATTGAACTCTCAGTCAGGCAATCTTATTATTTAATGTAATCATGTAACAAGACATTTTAAAAAATCAAAAGTAAAAAATCCAAGCAATTGAATCACTGGAGTTTTAAAGCATCATTACACACCCAAGGAAGTATGTCTCTAAAATGACTTAATGCAGTTTCATAAAAAGATTATGTAATACATTGGCAGCAATTTATATAGTTGGATTACAACATCCATATTGTTAATTGATTAATTAAACAAATAGATATAATAGAAATTAATCACACTAGTGCTTATTTTGGAAGTACATAGGAAATCCTTCAAACTGTTTCTGCTTCCTTTTTATGTTTGAGTATCATGAAATGCAGTTAAAAGATTCTTTGCATAGGGTTTTAAAGAATAATTATTGCTATTGTTTTGAAACATGTAACATCTACAAAAAAAATGTAAACTGAATCCAGACTGAAATCTGTGGGTCAAATTAGTTATGACTTAATCCCATTAAGCATGATTGACTTAATACAGATTGGAACATAATATAATTAAGTCACTGTTTTCAAAATACCTAAGGAATCTTTTCCATACTTATTTTTGGAGTATCCTGTGTATTGAGGATTGAGAATACTTTTGGTGGCTCGAGCACTCTGCCAGCGAAAATGGGCTCCAGAGCTCCATTTTCGACTCCTACAGCTTCCTGAAACCCTCTGCCAGTGAAAACAAAGATCAGTAGGGCCACACATGGCTCTCCCAATGTCCATTTTCACTGGCAGAGGCACTGCAGGCTGGTCCTTCACTATTTCCAGAGTGGCCCCGCGGGCCAGATCTAAGCACCTGCGGCCCAGATCTAAGCACCCCACAGGCCGGATCTGGCCCACAGGCCTTGAGTTTGACACCTCTGTATTATTAACTATCCACACAATCTGTATGCATTCCAGTGCAAAACCTAACTTCTGTGCTGTTATATTCTAAGGAGAGAGAGGAAGCAATGGTTAATGGTTGTTTCAGGGCATCCCATTATTAGCAGAGTCTGATGGCTATCACAGAAAGCAGAATTCAGATATTGTGAATAAACAGCAAACTGAATAATTTGTCAATATTTAATTTTTACTGTGTGGAAAAGAAAGAGTGGGCTCTGGGATTTTATTCATCCTGAATTAAAGCACACAGATCATTACTTCATATCTTTGTTTTGATGGATAGTAGGGCTTTTGATAGTCTACCTGATAAACAAAATGATTTCGGCCGGCCTTAGGTTGCAAACAAAGCAGATCCAACCTTATTCTTTTCAATGATCCTCCCGAAAAACTTGAGTTTTTTCCAAAAACTAATATGAAAATAACAGCATTAATTTCAAGATTCCTACTCTGATTATTTTCAACAAAGAGTATACTACAAAATTCTACAAAATTCCCAGAAGTACATAGAATACTGAAAAAAAAACCTCCTTTTGCTGATATATTGCAATATATAAGAACTTATGCATTTAAGTCATGTTTTACATATTTTTCTAATTACATCAATCTTACTGTATTAATTAGGCTAATAATATATGACAAAATTATTTATTCAATATATCTTTACTATATTACTCTGAGAATAATTCTCGTTCTCTAATGCCTTAAAATTCTCTAATGCCTTAGAAATATATTTTCTTCCTGCATGCCTTTCATTTCATATTATTCCTACTCCAATCATTCTTCACAATAAGATCACCCAAAGTTTCACCATAATTTTACCCTTGCAGAATGAAGGCAACTGTGTCTTCTATTCAATTTAGGAAAAATTACTTACTTGGAAAACTGATCCATTCCCAGTTTAATTCCATTTCTTCTAAAGTGAACAGTAAAAGGTATGAGGCTGGCTATGTGACAAGAAATATGACTTGGCTGCAAATAATATCCTGGGGTTTTCTTGGGCATGCTGACTTTTGGAGCATCTAGTGAAAAAAAATGTCAAAGTGCTTATTTTTATAAAGGCTTGCCTTGTATGTATATATTTAACATGCATACAGTATACATACATATTCTATATCTATATTTCTGTCTGCCTTTCTATTTTCTGTCATCTATAATCCATCCATCTATGTATGTCAATCTGGCTATTATCTATCCATTTATCTATCTATCTATCTATC